CGATTGCTTGCTCGCATAAAGTTCCATTGATCAGATAAAAACTATGATCTAATCGTTGATAAGGTTGTATGACGTGAAAAATTATAACCGCGACGAACTAACTGACTATTTCGTTTGTTATGGGTCCGAGAAAAAAAAAGACGTCACTAGAAAAGAAAATAATATTGACCGAATTAAACGCGCGAGCACGAAATGATACGTATCAATTGATTGCATATGCGCAATATTTACATGTGATTCGTAGATTCGTTTTATTGTTTCTGTTTTTCATTAATCAAGGACTGACTTAAAGTTTAAAGAGAAATACAGATGATATTTCAATTCTTAATAATCTGCCCTTCTTTTGTTCATGGTTTATTCATATAACGTTAAACTATGAGAATACAATGACTACTTGTATAATGAATTAGTATGATCGAAAAGCGGCCTTTGATTAAATGACGAAACTTTATTTACTATAAAATCCTAAGAAAGATAAGAAAAAACAAAGATTCTTTTTATATTTCTGTTCGATGATCAGTTACTTTATATAAAAGAGTGACGAAAAAAAAATTAAGAATGATAAGGTTAACTTTATAATCTTGCTGATAATCCGAATATCTCTTCAGTAGGCGTAAATAATATCGATAAACGAAACATTTTTAAACGTTATAGATTGAGCTTATGAAGTACAAGATGTTTGATACCTTGAAAACATCATCGAATTAGACAAAACATTTCAATTCAATTGTTTTACTATCAACAAATCAAGTATTACCATATTCGTTTAGTTTTAAACAAGGAAGTACAGATAAAACAGTTTCACATTATATTTAGACAATAAGAATAGACAAAGAACAAGAAAAAAAAAACGGAAGAAAATAAATATTTATTGCAAAGATTGAGGCCGATTCTGTTTTGTGCATTTCACTGTTTGTTCGACTTGACATACCGAGAAGCACAATAAAAATAGTTCAGACTATATGTATATACACAAATATTTTAAACACCAGCAAGTCTTTTGAGTAATGCCGGTTCCAAATGAGCGAAATCAAAATCTTTAACAGACTCTAAAATATTGATAATAAATTGAGTAAGTTTCTCTTGTCGGAAACAATTATTTAATGGATCATAGAATTGTTGTAGACATGCATCACTGCATTGACTTAATAATTTAAACCAATCTGATAGTAAATGAAGTCTAAAATATTATATTAAATAATGATAAAAATAAAACAAACAATAGTTCAAGACATACTTGCAAGCTAAACAGCACCAACTTTGAAAGCGACTTTCTTTCCCAAATGTAGAAAGACCTTTTTCAATTGATCGAACTCCATTTATATA